TGATCTAGTATATATATATATAATCTCAAAGGGTAGGGTTAGGTATACAGAATCATTGTCAGATTGGTGAAACTGCCTACGGTTTTTCAGGTGTTTGGCCAGTAGGAGGCAATAACAAGTAGATTGAAATGCCCTGAGCTGTGTGGCAGCAAGCAATCATTTAATGCATCCTTTTCAGGTTTGGGGAAATGCCCTCAGCCATTTCCAAATGATTCAGCCCTGCTGACATGCTGGAATTGGCTTCTGGCACATAACTGGTGTTGAGGCCTCATAGTCTAAAGTTATGTTACAAGTATATGTTGGCCTTTTATTTTAAACTATTGTATAGTTAATTAAAAGCAATCAGGAGCTCTGGAACCTTACTTGCAGGAACCAGAGTACGGAACATAGTTTCAAGTTGGACAGACTGCTAGCAGACAGTTATTTCTCAAGAATCTTCTACACAAAAGTTGTACTCCATACTAGGCATATATTCTCTCACCAGGACACAAGGGCAATGGGACCATGGCACCAATGAGGACACACCCAGAATGAGTAACTTGGTATTTTTCAGTTTCTAAATTAAGGCAAAATCAAATTTTCCATGTACAAGTTTGCACCAATTTTCTAAGTTAATCATCAGGTAATTAATGCAGATTAACAGATAAATTACTGTCACTTTAACTATATGCAATAACCATGCCAAGTTTTCTTCAATATTTTGTATAATAATGGTTAAAAATACAGTTTAACTATCATGTTCACAATTGTTATTTTCAAGGTAGTAGAATGAATACATTTTTAAGTGATATGAAATTAAGGCTTTTTAATAAACCTGAAGAAGTAGTCTTTCCTCCCATTCCCCACCCAGCTTGCCTCTTTAACAGTTTAAAGAAGACTGCCCTCAAAACACAAGCTTATGCATTAAATTCTGGACCATGATAAATGTGGGAGGTTGTGAAATAAGTTGAGCTTTGCTTCTTGGTGAAGCCACATAAATTTATTTTTTAAGTGAATTTGAGTTTCAGTCTAGCTCCAATTCACACTTTTAGTGACACATAACAGTTTTCAAAATGTTAAAATATTTTCAGTCAATTGAGCCTTCAATGGAAATGCTTATACATTACATTTATTAGTAAGGCCAAGATAGAAAAGGAGTTTGGGACTCTGCTTATAAAATGTAGCATCTTTCTCTGATTCTCATGACTAAACTTTGCCTTTTCTTTTTTCTATTCTTTTCTGTCTTCCATCTCTCTGGCTCTATTTAATGAATTTCTGTCATTAAATAAAAAATACTTAGTCAACATTAGCGCATTTTAGCGTTTCCATGTATTTAACATTCCACTGATAGGCTCTTGTTTTAGGCTCTTCTACAGAAAGCTGCCTTTCATCTTCTAAAATCTTATTTATTACCAACCAGCAGAAATGGAACTTTCTCATCTTCTTTAACTCTTAAAATCTACCCCACCCCCACTACTACCACCACCAAATCAGCTGTGGCTGCAAAGAATTCCTTTCTGTGCTAGGGAGGCCACCACCCACTGGGAAGTGCTAGTGTAAAAGCAGCGGTCTCACAGTCCCCACCCTCCAGTTCAGGCTGCCTGCTGTGTTCCCCACACACTCTTCATCCCTGCACTGTAGGGTCAGTGCCCACACTCCTGTACCACCACTGCTCGCCACGGTTACTTTGTGTAGGGCAAAAATT